GATTGAGGTTTTAGAGAATAGAGGCGCAGAGATAGAGAGACTAGGTTTTCCGCTGCTCTCTCGAGAAAGAGAGTAGCGGCACTCTACACGGTATACCAGATTCATTTGTTCCTCTCATATCTTTCTAGCTGCTGCTTCTTCACTGCTTAGATTGTTTGTTTGTTAAAGATATTAGAGGTTGTGTCGTTGACATATGTGATGTAAAAGTGTCGTTGAACGGTTGTGTCGCATATTTATCACTAATTGGTGATATTGTAGTGTCACAATTTAGTGACACTTTTTTAGTGTCACTAGCCCCCACTTTCAACGACATTTTTTTAGTGTCACGGAAACCCCTTTAGTAACACTAGTTTGGTATCACTGTAAGACATTTTTCTAGTAGTGAATTCAAAAGGTGATTCGTACAAAGGCGATATAGAGGAAGGAGATTATGCTCCTTTTGCAGGCTACCGATAATCCACTTCCTTCCTATGGCGACTTAGAGGGTGTTTGGAAGAGCAAAAATGGGTTGATCAAGCTTAAAATCTGTAAAAATAGCCAAACACCTCTTCAATGGGCTGTTCTGGCTGATTCTTATTATCAGCTGAAAAAGTGGCTTCATGGTTACTTTTCGGGTTGTTTTTTATTTTTGTATGATTAAGATGTTCAAAGACAATGATAACCAACCTTTCCTTCCTAATAGCAGAAGTCATGTTCTGCGGACTTCTCTGCTCCATATTGGTTGTGCCGTTCTGGTATGAAAAGAAAAGTTTAGTTCTCTATGGAAATATGGAATCCACCATAGTGCTTTTACCATTATGTTGAGTTACGTGATTTGAGCTTCTGTGTTGATGTTTTGATGTGTATTGTTGCTTTTGAAATGTAGTGTTTTAGCGTAAAAAGATAATGCCCTTTATGGTAATTATACATTCAATCAGCCAATTCAATCCATATATTACCAAACACTTTCACTTCAGAATTTTAGTCTTTTCAGTCTTTTCAGAGATTGAGTCATGACCAAGCATGCCCTTAATCATCGCCGAATGGATATGCCGACCGTGGGTTTCATGTTTTTTTGAAAGATGGGTTTCATGTTAAGTCACGTAAAAAGGTATTTTAGAGATCTTAAAATGCTTTTATTTATTATAAAAAATACCGAGTATGTAATTGTGTATGTGATGATTTGGTTGTAAATAGAATTACTCTTTTTCATTTATATTGCTTTGGTTGGGTTTATGTATGGGGTGAGTGTATTTTGTTAAAACGATTCTTATTGTATGTGATGATAAGCGTGTAATGTTATTTATAAGCTACTCCAATTAAGTGATACAATGAAATAATTATCGAATTGTGAGTGTCAATCATCGTCTACTATTTTTACATAAATTAATTTCAAATAATGGTCAATTCAATGTTGCTCTTTCCGTGTCATAAAATTTCTCTTACCTGACAAAGATGGTAAACGTCCAACATAACACAAATGTTATAAATAAAGAAGTCTTTCAAAAATTGTAAAGCTATTTTTTACATTTTGCTTTTACTATACATTTTTTTATCCAATTTTGGTTTATTGAAATTATGTCCCGTACGATGACGAGTACTATAATAGCGAGAAGTTAAAAGGGAAAAAGCCCAAATTAAGATAACAATCAGGGACATATTCATAAATTTGGGTTGTATTGGATTGAAGACTAATAGACTACACTTAGATATTAACAAAGTGGGTTAAATATGAAAAATGAAAAGAAAAAAATTACACTTAAAAAATTGAGAGAAAAATTACACTATATTTAAGTCTAAGATAGCCCCAATATAAATACTCCCTTGTTAACAACTTACGTATACAATAAATTAATAACCACAATAAATTTAGGTTTTGTTTGGTAGATAATTGTTAGTTTATGAATAATTTGATCAGACGAATTAGTGTATACTTGGCACAACTAGCTGAAAATAATACTTTTGTGAGTTTTTTTTATTAATTTTAGATTCAAGTGACCGAAAAAAATAGTAAAGGAAAAGGGTTATAGTTGTTTGATAAAAACTGACTATTTGATTTAGTTCTGTTTGGCATAACAAATTGTTGTGATTAATTAATGCTGAAAATTATAGACATTCTCTCATATGTTACTCAATGTTCTAAACAAATCGTTTATTTTGAAAAAGGTCTTAAAAATATTCCGACAAACACACAATTAGAAGTTTTTAGAAACTTTTTAGCACAAAGTCATGAGACAGAGATTTATGTCTACCAAACACATGCACTTAATGGAACCATTTATAAAAAGAGCTTATTATTCAAAAAGTGAAAATCATTGTTTCAAATTTGAGGTATTTCCAAAATCATTTTTAAAAATATTACTCCCTCCGGTCCCTATTAAAGTTCTCAGTTTGACTTCACACAGATTAAGAAAATAAATTTGACTTTACTGTGGAGTGCACTGTTTGGCACTGTTTGACACTGTTTGGCACTGTTTTGCACTATTTTGTTTCCTACAATGGAAGTGTGAACTTAAATAAGGGACATCCCAAAAAAGAAAATGAGAATTTTAATAGGGACCAGAGGTAGTACGACTAAAAGTAGTCCTGCTCACTTCACATTAGTTTAAAATTAAATATAATTAATATTTTTAACGTCACTCTTATAAAGCATCCACTAAAAAATCACATGTAAATTAAAGGCGGTCCTGACACCTCGTCTTCCGCGTGTCTGACTTCGTTAATTACGACGGTGTAGTCACGGATAAATTCGTGACTACGTTCGTGACTAGGCCTTATATAAAATAAACACTTTGCGATTTTTTCATTCCAAACACTCTTCCAACCCTAAAACTCTCCTTCTCCTGGCCTTTTACTTCTTCGATCTCTCTGTCCGGCAATCCCTTCGACCTCCACCGTCGCCTTCCACCCTCCGCTGCCACCGTCTGCTGCCACCGTCGGCCGGGAGTCTCCCTTACCTACCTCCGTCCACGGATTTTTTACACTACGGTCCGTGACTAAATCCGTGACTACTTCCGTGTTTTTTTGTAGTGAAACGACCTTTATTTTAATTATAAATACATAATTATTTCTTGAATATTTATCATTGTCTCACTTTTTTAATTAAAATCCAATATCGGGTGGCAGCATTCACAAATAAAAGTGTTTTTCCGTTTTTACGTTGAAAAAAGAAACTACATATTTATGATTAATATAAAAATTGTTTATAAAAATGTAACTTCTTAAATATAGTGACAATGTTTAAAGATTGTTTATAAAAATGTAACTTCTTAAATATTAATTATCGTAACTTATATTCAATTCTAATATATGATCAATATACGGATAGTTGATAAACATATGACTTATTAACTTTTAGTAAATATAATTGTTTTCAAAGTCACTATAAAAGTCATAGACAATTTATTTATATTTTTATTTACAAATATCTATATATTGGATGTGTTCTTCCTTATAGTTACTTTGATACGGAGTATAAAATTAAAATATAATTTTTTATTTAAAGAGGAAAACGTTTATCTTAAATTCAAAAATCAAATAACTAAACATCCTGTATTCTGGCTACCCAAACATTTCCTCTAGACTCCTTATAGCCAATAGGCAACCTCACTCTCTGATTAGACATAGAATAGACTGCCCAAATGCCCAATAATGAGATTGACTCATCGCTCACCATGCGAAAGATTCAAAGTTATTATCGGCCAAATTAGACTGCTTGCTTCCTCCGAAACTAAAAACTAAAGCCACAAAACAAAATTTTCTCTCTCATATGTAGTGTTTTTTGATATTAGAAGATAAGTTTGTTAACATTTAGTGACTATAATAATAAAAAACAGCCCTTATGTAATACAAAAAAAAGCTTATATGCTCATTTTTCATTTGAAATTATGTATTACTTTTAGTTATAAGATAAGCCGACTAACAATTGGTCGGGAGAATTTTATCTCTCATATATAGTGATTTTAGGTAAAAGAAGATAGGCTTGCTAATAAATGAGCGGATGAATTTTCTCTGTAATATATAGTGTTTCTAGGTATGAGAAGATAACCTTGCTAACAATTCAACAGAGAAATTGAGCAGGAAAATATTCTCTCATATGTAATGCTTTTAGGTATTATAAGCGGAGAAACTCTCTCATATGTAGTTCTTATAAGTATAAGAAGATAAACCGGCTAACAATTGAGTAGAAGAATTTTGTCTCTCATATGTAGTGAATTTATGTATAAGAAAATAAGCTAGAGTTATTTATCTATTCTGTTTATATATAAGAAAACAAATCTATCTATTTATATATAAGAAAATAAATAGCTTTTTAAAAGACAATTACACCTTTCATTAATACTATGTGTCCATCTCACCACATTTTGCTTATTTGCTATAATCGTGCCAAGTGGCAACATATAATTCTTTTCTTCAAATTCCAATTACAACGGCAAAAACATCAAAGCAAAGCAACGTAATTGACTGGGTGAGATATACTTGGTGGGTCCCATGATACGAAACAATTTCTTTTTTCGTTAAAGTGTTATAACTTTTTCATTTAAAGTGATAGACTTGGTGGATTTTCTCTCATATATAATGCTTTTAGGTATTATTAGAAGATAAATTTGCTAATAATTGAACGGGAAAACTCTCTCTCTCATATGTAGTGCTTTTAAGTATAAGATTAAAAGATAAATTTGGTAACAATTGAGCGTGAAAACTCTCTCATATGTAGTGCTTTTAAGTATAAGATATAAGTCGACTAACAATTGAGCGTGAGAACTTTATATCTCATATGTAGTGGTTCTGAGTAACATAAAATAATAAACTTCCTAATATTTGAGCAGGAAAATTCTCTCTTACATGTAGTGTTTCTACATATTACAATATAACGATTTTAATATGTAGAAAAGAAGATAAGAACTTTCTTTCTCATATGTAACAATTTTAGATGTACTGTTTTTAGGTATAAGAAGATAATCTTGTTATTTGTATATTAATTTGTAATTAGATAATGAGTATAAATATATACAACAACCGTTCTTTCTCGTGCATATGCACGGGTACTACACTCCCTCCAGTCCTTTAATGAAGTTTAAACTTTGACTTCAAACATATTAAGAAAAATAAATTTGACTTTCAAACATATTAAGAAAATAAATTTGACTTTACTATAGAATACAATGTTTGTAGAAAATAAATTGAACACCACAAAACATAAAATGTAAAGTTAATTAAAGACAAAAGAGAATAGTTTTTTGGTTTTTGAGAAACCAAAGATTGGGATACAAAATCAATTCTCAAAAGAAAACGTTAACAGTGAGGCGCGAATCGGCCTAATCCCATCATCTCAAGCCTCAGTAACAATTAAGCCCTCCCACTCACTCTACATTGACTTGGAAAACGTCTTTCCTTTCTTCCTGCTTCACCTTCGGAACAGCAACCTTCAACACCCCATTCTTCATCTCCGCCTTAATGGAGTCGAGCTTGTACAGATTCGGTGGAATCTCCAGCCTCGTTGAATACCTTCTCCTTCCGTAATCCTCTCCATCGTTCTTCTTTGCCTCCTCTTCCGCCAACTCACCTTTAATCAATAGCGTGTTCTCCTCCACGCTGACCTTGACGTCGCCCTTGTCCAGTCCTGGCATGTCCATCTTGATGTAGAGCGCGTTCTCATCCTCTCGCACATCCCAACCTCTCCTCGGCGCGGCGGTAGGGCCAAACGCACCGAAGGACGAGGCGAGCGGATTCTCAAGCAATTGATCCATCATGTTCAACAGCTGGCTTACGCTCCTCGGGGGAGAAAACGGATCGAACGAATCTGCAGGAACAAAACAGAAAAAATCACACCGTATTTCTCGACTTAAACCAAATTACCAAAATTCGGAGTAATACGAAGGAAACCAAACGAATTTAGGAGAAATTGGAAGAAAATACGAACGGTAGTACTTGCCTGAAAAGGCGCCAGGGAAAGTGTCGCGGCGGCGAGAGACAGATCGGCCTGAGCGGCGTTCAACGTCGACGTCGCGATCATCATCCTCGTAGGCCGTCATCTGAGCATTGGTGTTGAAGGATCTGAAAACAGAAGGAACGGCGGATGCCTGGCGCGCAGGAATGACTAATTTGTTGAAAAGAGCAGATGTGGTGGCGGCAGCTCTCCGAATAGCCATTGAAGAAGCCATAGTACTCTGAAATTGAAATGAGAGAAATTTGAATCGATCTAATTTGCTTTAGTGCACAGTTAACTTTTAATTCTCTTTGAGATGGTTTGAAATGGAATGGCACAATATTATATACTGGAAGTGAAAAGCGGATGGGGCTTGGGGAAGGGGAAGACGATAGTTCCAGAGAGTTTGAGAGTGAAGACTGTAGAATGTTCGGTTTCCGCCAGATGGTTCTAGACGTAAGCGGGACATTTTTTTATTTTTACTCCGTATTAATTTTTTAAGTGTCTAGGTGTATATTCCCTGATCCCTCCGTCGCCTATTTGGCATTCCACTTTTTCTTTGGATCAAAATCATTAAAGTAGTAAAAACTTTACCCACGTTTATTTATGTTATAAAAAAATACTTACAAAAAATATCAGTGTTTGGGATATTGGTAAATTAAATTTAGTTTTTCTCTCAATGTTATTATTTTGTTTAATATGTAGATAACGTGCTTGAGGGTCACAAATAAATATGTGAATTGAATATATTATGTAACCTCTTATAGGAATTAATCATCTATCTATTAAATAAAATAATGAACACCAATGGTGATTAGGACATTTTAGAAATGATAAAAATGTTGATTAACACTGAATCAATCTACATTTGTACAATTTATTTTAATCATTCTACCATAGATCATAGTCTCTATGTTTTCCCCTTATCTCCGTTAGAAGTTGGCCGTTTGCTTCCCAACATATGTCCTTGGCATTTTAATTATAGGATTCACTCGATAGCTATGATTTTCTTTCAATATTTTCACTTAATTTTGCATTTTATTTTTTCCTCTACATTACGTTTTGTGTTATGTTGAAGATAAAAAATCAACTTTTTGTAAATTTATTATCAAAATCATCATCATCTCATCATCAATATGACTAAAACTCAACCTTTGGGTTTTTATCTCGTGTCTAAATTCAACTTTAAGTAAATTTATCATCATCATGACTAATACTCAACCTTTGGGTGTTTATCTCTTGCGCCCGCAAAGATTTACTCCCTCTGTCCCTTATAACTTTGCCAACTTTCCTTTTTGAGTTGTCCCAAAAACTTTGTCATTTTCCCTATTAGTCAATCAATTTGTGGTTCCTATTATTTCTCTCTTTTCTGCACAAATCTCTACCACATAGTTTTTATTTTATTATTCTACGTGCTGGTCAAACTTGTCAATCCTTTTAGGGACAAAGGGAGTAATTTTTAATTTATCATCATGGGTGTTCTTTCAAGTTATCTTTTTAATTTTTTAAAAAATTAAAAAGTGATATTTTATACGTCGTCTTGCGAAGAAAAATGTAGGGGTGAGATCGGGTTAGTTCTTGACAGAAAATTAGGAAGAATTTGAAGAACCGTTAATTCCATGTTGATTCGGTTCTAAAAGTTGGAGAAGAACCGATATAAGAATTATAGTATTACATCAGTGCAATTCTGGTACATTGTCAGTTAATCATTAAGAAAGAAAATTACCTATTAACGTGTTTCATCGTTAAATCGCTAACACATATAAATATAATTTGAAATTACTAAATATTTAACCGTAAATAAATATACAAAATTTAACAAGCTAAAGATGAAAAGAAAACAATTATTAAAAAGAAAAACTCGATTGCACCTATATTTGTACAACATGTAGTAATGAGTATAGGCTTGTGTAATGATCAATGTTCTTACTCATTAAGTTATGTAATATAACAATTGTATTTCTTTTTAATAAAAATAAATTTGGATTAATTCCTTATGCTTCATTTATTCATTTATTTGTTTCATTTATTTATTTTATTGATTTGTTAACATATTACACATAGGAAATTACTTACGGTAGAACTAAAACATAACATTTTCCCCAAAGTATGGTAATATGTTTGGTTTTCTTAAATAAGACTAAATATTACATTTATACCCCTAATTTAAATCATTAATGTGTTTAATTGTCCCTATTTCCTTTGCATAACCAAAGTCAGTTTGTTGGTGGCGGATCAATCTGATGACAACGACGGTGAACTCCGGTGACGGAAGCGGACAGGCACATCGATAGCGGTGATCTAGGTGAAAATTCTTATTATTGGCAGTGACAGTCCGGATTTAAAAGTCTATAGATATTTTAAAAGTCTATAAACTTATCCATTGATTTATAAGTCAATAGAATTCAATCATAAAAAGTCTACGGATTTTAAATTCCATAGACTTTTTTAAAAGTCCATATATGGATTAAAAAAAGTTCACCACAATCCATATTCAATACACCCCTTAATGTCCATCTCTAAGATTGTGCCTTTATATGTGAATTTACCTCACACATGTAGAGTTCGTGTATAAGATATTATCATATTCTAAAAAGTTTAGAGGTTAGTAGTTCTTTTATACCACTGCAACTATGTAATTTGTTTCATGTCAACCTCTCTTTGTGCATGTTGTATTAAAGTATTTGTTACATATCGGAAAGCTACAAAAAATAAAACACTATATAAGATTTTGAGTTACTTCTCCTATCAGGTTAATCTTTTAGGATGAAACTTCGAGTCTTAACATGATATCAGGGCGAAAACCGGTTGTGGTTTGACTCCTTGTTTAATACTCATGATTAAAGATAGCCTCTTAAGAATCTATTTGGCCAATTTATACACTGATATTAATCAGCTCAGTTCAGGCTGAGGGGAACGTGTTAATGTATTTGTCCCACATCGAAAAACTATAAAACAATAAAATATTACAGTATATAAAACTTTGAACTATCTCCAGTTTCTTCTTATCGAGTTGGTCTTTTAGGATGAAATTTTGAGTACCTGATAGATTTGAATGCATGACTTGACATGGTGTTTTTCAAGTTCGAGGCCTTATGTGACCCTTATCCCTTTTATATACTCCCTCCGTCCCGGAATTATCTTCATTCTTTCCTTTTCGGTCCGTCCCAAATTTATCTCCTTTTTTCCCTTTTTGGTAAAGAATATGTGATTCACAACCATTCTTACACATTTATCTCTCTTCTGTATAACTCTCCACCACACAAATCTCACTATCTTAAAACCCGTGCTCGGTCAAAACCGGAGTTAAATATGGGACGGAGGGAGTATTATTAACTGACATTGATTTATAAGATGTTCAAGTGCGATATATCGGATATGATTTATACTGATTTGTTACACTCAACTATTTGATCGTAATCAAAAGATGTTGTATGAAGTCTGATTTGTTGTTTTGTCAAAATAATCTATTTTTTTTTTCAATAAATCATGGCTGCCCAGCCTCTATTATTGCCCCTACACCCACATTTGATTAGGTTTTTTGTTGGTTTCTATTAAAATATCATTATGTTCTGTCCGAAGTACATGATAGATACACATAGAATTATAGAAACTTCAACGCATTTAGCTCTTTTGTCATTAGGACATTCAATTCAATTCAATTCAATTCAATGGTAATGACAGTAGGGATGTCAAAAAAAACCACCCCGCAATGACCCGCCCTGGTCCGAGACATTTGGGGCGGGTCAGGCCTGCCCCGTCTTGCAAATGGGACGGGTCCGCCCCGCCCCACCCCGCCTATACAATGGGGCAGGTCCGAGTATCAGTATTGACCTATGCTGTCCCGATCTGCCCCGACCCAACCCGCTCAATATATAAGTATATACATACTTTCTCATAAATTATACTACAAATATACTTCAACATACATATGTGTGTATACAATAAATTATAAATTCTTTGATCTTATAATATATCAATATATATTAGATTGAGATGAACGACGATTATCAATGTCTTCTTTATATATAGCATTTTAATATATATATATATATTCAAGTATTAATATAATTAAATAGATTCACTATTCAAGTCTAAGTGATTTTTCCTTAACTTTTGAAATTTCTAGTGTATCGTGAATTTGATTTAATATATTAATTTTTAATAAATATTTAAAGATAAACTTTATGTAGATTCAATTGGTAACAACTTCTCACAAATACAAATACATACTAGTTAATTATGTTACGGCGGGGCGGGGCGGGTCATGGGTCAACAAGTTTGGACCCGTGCAGGTCACGGGGCGGGGCGCACCCGCCCCGTCAAATCACGGATCGGGTCTGGGTCTTGCAGTACCCGCCCCCCCTAACCCATTGGCATGCCTAAATGACAGGCACGGTTAAGGTGCCGGCCCTGCCACTTTTTAGTTTTTTTGTCAATCTATTTTTTAACTTATGTATGCATATATATTTATGTAAAAAGAAATTATATTAAATGGGACTAAAACATGGTTAAAACTCCAAAATAAGAATTCAATTTTTAAATTGCCTAAATGGGACTCCACATTACACTTTTGCCCTTCTGCTATTAAAACCCATCTCTCGCCTCCTTCTGCAATTCGTCACTGGCCAAGCACATCGGCAGCATATCGATGATCCCTTTCTGCAATCTACGATAAATTCATCGTAGCAGCAGCTCCGCACATCCCTTGACAGCAGCTCCTCCATCGGCTATGGCCACGCACCGCAACTCCACCGTCGACCACAAGTCTTCTTCTTCTTCTTCCTCTTCTTCTTCCTCCTCTTCTTCTTCCTCCTCTTCTTCTTCCTCTTCTTCTTCCTCCTATTCTTCTTCTTCCTCTTCCTCCTCCTCTTCTTCCTCTTCTTCCTCCTCCTCCTCCTACTCCTACTCCTCCTCCTCCTCCTCCTCCTCCTCTTCCTCTTCCTCTTCCTCTTCCTCTTCCTCTTCCTCTTCTTCTTCTTCTTCTTCTTCTTCTTCTGTTCATGAACTTCCCATCCTCTTCAAATCTGGGTCCTCTATTTTCTTCTTCTTTAGATTTTCAGAAAATGACATTTTTTGAATAAGAGAATGTCATCGTTGTGTCATTATTGATTATTTTAAAAAAATGTCACTTTTATGTCATTACAGTATTTGAAATGTCATATTGAGAATGTCATGTATCTATACGAAATTGTCATTATTGTGTCATTATGCATATACTCCGTATTAAGTGGCATTCTCGCATATGAAGTGTCATTCCTCATGGAAGTCTACACAGTAACACAGACTCACTGCAGGGTAGATTTTTGTTGGAGAATGATGACAACGTATTTGTTGAGGTGTGAAAGTGGTGGCAGACTTGATGGATGGTGGCAGAGCCGCCATTAGTGGAGGCGCCGATCTTGGAGGCCTGGAAACGCACAGTGCACACCATTTGCGCAGCAGGGGAATCGCATATGCGCATCAAAGGCCCCTGCGAACTCTTCATTAAGGGCATTTTTGTCCAATTAGCTCTTTTTAGTCTTATTTTTGTCCAATAAAACATAGTTGTCATGTTTTTTGCAATTCTAACTTCTTTTAGTCCTATTTAGGCAAATCTCTCTTATGTAAAATTATAAAGAGTGTTTAAATATGAAGTTTGTGACCCTGTAATAAATTTTTTAGAGGATGTAATATTAATTTATGGCTCTCCCATCAAAATTAATAGAGTAAATTCCCTAAATAGGAGTAAAAATGTTTTGAAATTCCAAAATAGGACTATAATGTTTTTTATTCTCTAAATGGGAGTAAATTTCTGTCAAACTTGGCATTACTATGCTTTTAAACGTGACATGTTTTTCCAAACTTGGCAGATTACTCCTATTCAAGGAATAAAAAACATGATACTCCTATTTTGGAATTTTAAAACGTTTTTACTCCTATTTAGGGCAATTTCTAAAATTAATAATCATTAGAACATCACATGTATATACGGAATAGATAAAAACAAACGTTTATCGCATGTATTTTAATTCTTTCATCGTTAGAGAGTTAGAGCCCATTTAATAATAATGAAATTAATTGAATCAATGAAATCTGTTGAATTTGATAAATTTCTCGTTAGAATGTTTGAATTAGTTGAATACATCGAATTATGAGAAAACTATTTTTTATTAATCAAATAAATGAAAATAGATACTACGTACTTCCTCCGTTCCATAAAAGTTGCAACATTGAAATTTCTGCACTATTCACACACATTACTTTGACTATGATTTTCTAATAATATATATAATAAAAATATTATGTATAAAACATTAATAAATTTGCATTAATGTAAATTTCCAATATATTAACTTTTTTTAATGTTTACTAATACGTAAATAAATATAATAACAGTTAAAGTTGCGCGTTGGCAAACGTGAAAGTCAAACTGTTCAACTTTTATGGAACGAGGGATAGTGTGATATAGTTATAATGGTTTTCTACATTTTTTGAAATTCCTATAGATTACTTTTTGTTAGAAAAGTAACTTCATCTTATTTATATCGATTATCACATAACTCAGTGTGTGAAATTAATAAAATTAATTGATAAACATGTAAATAGAGGTTATTAAAGGGGGGGTTTTCAAAAATATTATCAAAATAAAACTTATTTACAAAATTAAGACTAATAGTTACTACAATGTAATGTAATGGTAACTTAAGTTAAAACATTGTACATAAATTACCATGATTCCATTAATACTCTAGTCATTTATCACAATTTTATAAGCACTCTTTATTTTAATCATAAAATGTAATCATTTCTTATTAAAATGATTTTAATGATTTCTTATAATGCACTGTGAAGAGAAATCACAAACAAATGTTAAGAAGGTAGGTCGAAAGTTTTCAGACTCAACACAATTACAAAGCAAATATAGCATGCCATTATAGCAAATATAATACACTAATACATACAATAGTACATTACAAAGCAGAATAAATAATGGAATGAAATATTTGCAATTACGTAGTACTTATAATAATGTAGAAATATACTCGCACGGGTAGCTCATTTGGTCGAGTAGTGGAAAAATTGGACCAAGTGACCAAGGTTCGAAACCCGCATCAGCCGTGTGGAGGTTACAGAACCTGAAATAAGGTTGGAGCTCTGATGCGCACGTGTATAAGGTCTACCACCGCTTTTCTGACTGAGTCACCGTAATTAACCTCTCCAACATCCTGTCGGATCGGAGTGAGAGACTCCTGAGGTGAGAGATTCCACCCTTTGGACCAAATAATGTACAAATATCAAAGTCCATCACCACTAACATGATTTCCAATTGAACAATTAAATCAAGCACTATGATTTTTTCTGTACAGCATTATATATTTTTATTTCTTATTCGATACTAATCAAAGCACTTTATGTGAAGCAAAGACAGATTTAGCTTCTTAAAAGCTTTTCCTTTTTCAATAAAACATGGACCGTCCTCAATCATGGACAACTCCAATACTTTGCCTTCCTTCGTTTGGCACTATTCTTTTTTTCTTTTTCTTTCTTTTTAAATTCTAAAGGTCGGCGACGCTCAAACTTTCTCTGACTCGAATCAGTAATTTTGTCTTAGGTCGTTGTAATTAGCCACGTCATCGAAAAAGAGTCAACTTAGACGGCATTGACTTCAATATCACAGCTTAAGGCGCAGGTTAGTGGCGGCTCAATGTATCCCACAAAGATGCGCACTTCCTCCGGGCAAACCCGACCCGTCCCTTCTCCAAATCATACGCCACCTCAAAACCTTGTTGCTGATAGTTTCCCAATAAACCGGCGGGACCGCCGGAATCCTCCTCATCGCCGCCGCTGATCAGCATCATACACCCGACTTTTTTGTTAGCCTGACCCTTATCTCCGCCGTAGATAAACTGGTAGAAATAATTTTTGCTGGGCATCGCCACACTTGAATTCCCCCCGAAATGTAGCAAAACTTGAGGCACTTTCGGATCACCCATACCCGTATCCAAATAATAGCAAGGCCCAAGCCCGGTTTTCTCCTCCACTTCACCCCCCCTCTTATGGCCCGACCCGACTTGCTTGTCAAATTCAGTGATCACAGCGTTATAGAAAACCTGCGGAAGCATAGTGAATGTAGTCCCGGAGTCCACCACCATACCGCCGTTTCCTCGTCCGTCAACTCTCCGGAGATTCTCCGGGGAATCGATTCTTCGCCTCCCAACGGAGACGGCTTCGAGTCCAACACAGTAGAAATACGGGTGCTTCGGGTTCTTCAACATGGGGGTGTATGCGAAATCATCTGCTGGGATTTGTCTCACCTTGTTTTCGTCAACCGAGTTGCGGCCAAGGATGAGCGGGCTCGGTCGCCGAACTCGGTTCGCGTTGAACGAGTGAGAAACCAAACAGTACGAGAAATGGTTTCCGATGTCCGGGAAGGAGGTCGCTAGCTGAGCCGGCATCGAAAGGACTCCACGTCCAAACCCGGCGACGCCAATTGGCTCGCCGAGAGCACTGTGAGCGCAACCGAAAGTGAAATTCTGCAGAACCAGCGACGGCAAGGACATGGGAACTGATAAACCGTCTCTGTAGAGCTTAGCCACGAAGCTGCCGTCGCCGTAGGCGTAGTAAAACGGCGGGCAAGAGTGGGATCGGCAATCGGAGGTTTCGATGTTCTCAAGAGGACACTTAGCCATGGCACAGAGGTCGGAGGAAGAGTGGGAGGAGTGCACGGCGGAGCATGCCGGCGACTTGCAGGAGACCGGAGAGGCAGAGCTGAGGTTGAGTGGGCCCGGATTCCGGACGGCGGCGGGGTTGTACTTTCCCTCGCAGAGAATACATTCAAACGGGTGACAGGGGATCCAAACGACGTCACTTCCGGTGTCCATGTACAGGGAGATGGTCTGGGAACCGAGGGTAAAGGACAGAGTGTAATCACTTCCCGGAGTAAGCGGGAGGGAAATACGGCGGTGGCTGTGATGGTGGAGCCTGGCGGCGGAGCGGGCCGAAGTGGACTTGAGGAGGTGGTGGGTACTGTTGAATTGGGTTCTTGACAGGGAATGAGTAAGTGGAAGAACTAAGATTTTAGACAAGCAGAAAGGGAGTAGCATGAAGAAGAAGAGGAAAACGGGTAAAACAGAGGAAGCCATTGAAAGCAGAGAGTAATTAGAAAGAATGAGTTCCAGGCCAGGTTATAAAAAGACCATCTTAAAGTACGCCGGCGATAGGGGTTAGGTCGTGGGTGGAAGACGACGAAATTTCTAGTCTCAAACGCGCACGAGTTTGGTGGATTTTGGAATATTTGGATTGTCATGAAACTAAAGCAGGTTGAATCCAAGTTTTTTTAAGACGGAGTGATTGCGTCCCCACAAGATTACGATGATCATGCATAATTTCCCCTTTTGAAATGAAAGGAAAAAGAGGGTATCCCCTGGCGGGCCCGCTAGTGTTATCCACCCCTCGGGGTGGTCGTGAGATGTACTAGAGGTGTTTGGAACCGATTCTGATTCTGCTTCTTTTTTAAAGAAAAAGCAGAATCAGAATTAGTTTTCAGAAGCTAGTCACCCTAAGCTTCTAAAAAACTGATTCTATGAGTAAATTAGAGCACTAGAATCACTTCTGCACTTTTACCCAAATACTCCAACTTCTGTTTCTGCTCCCTGAAGGAGCAGAAGCAGTTTTAAGAATCAAATCCAAACACCCCCTAGGGCTCAAATAAAGGATTCTCCCGACAAAAGAGTCTTTTGTACACACTCTTATACACACTTTTGTACACACCTAAATTTGTGAAAGGTTTTTTTTGTCTGTGAACATCGACTCACAGATAATATTTTGCACAAACAAAATATTGTCTGTGAACCGGATTCACAGACAAAAAAAAAGCTTCACAAACATGGTGTGTATAAAGTGTGTACAGGAGTGTGTACATCAAGCAGTTTTGTTCTCCCGAACTCCTCAAAATCGATGGAATAGTTATCCCAACGTCCTCAACATTGACCGGATAATTCAGAGAATATAAATTTAAATTGAACTCTGATCAAAGCACTAGTAAAGATTTATACATTTTTAAATATTAACATTTCTTAAAAAAAAGATGACATTTCATTCCTGAGGGCCCCTCAATCCCAATCGTACGATACGTTGAAAAGATGTAAGTTGGACTATAATCTCAAGTGGACCTCTGTTCCCGATACTTATTACTTGCAAAAACTCTATGCATTTTTAGCATATTAACAAATAATAACATTTCATCACATTGCTGAAAAACGTACTTGAAATTTATCACTTTATGACACTCTATGTTACTCCGTATCTATCAATTGATATGGACTAAAATTGATTTATTCAGGAAAGAATTGCAAAAATATTACTTATAAGGTTTTAGTAGACAAAAATATGACAACTTTATAAAAAGACAAAAAAGTGACCATTTAATTTAAAAAGAATCCAATCTCTCACCTGTCCAGCCCGTCGCCCTTCCCAACGCCCGTCTCTGTGCCTTATCTGCGCACTTTCCCTTTTGTTTGGCCAAGCCTCCTCCATCTTCAAGCCAAGTCTTCTTCTTCAAGCTCCACCCAGATCCGCCAGTGTCGCAGCTCCTCCTCCGGGTCACGTCGCTCCACCATCGCCGTCGTGACGCAAGGTTGCAGTGTCAAAGCGCATCGTTGCCGCCGAAGCCACACCTTCATCGCTCACCTCAGTTCGCACCTTCGTCGCTCACTGCCATTGGAAGTCTGTAGCCAACCTTCGTTTTCCTCATCCTTCTATCTTGCGTCGAATGGCCATGGCGATCGATTTTCTCCCCTGCATTTTCAGATCTGGCAACAGCTAGGCCCTGAGACAGGCGATGGTCTTGGTCGTGTTTGGTGGCTGAGGTGTGAGGTGTGGACTATGGTGGCTGGATCTGACGGCTAAGGTGTTACGGATGGACTGTGAGGGCTGGAGCTTCGATTTGGGGCTGCACACTGTTTGTGGGGTTGTGATGAAGGTTTCATGGCGGTGGGGTAGTGGAAGCAGGGCTGGGGGAGGTCTGTGCGAGTGGTGGAGGGGGTTGGGGACTGCTGTGAGGGTATGGGGCTACTGTGGGCTGGGATGGCGCAGGGGAGGGTGCTGGGGTTTGGTAGTCGAAGGTGGTGGTCGCTGGGGTGGCCGGAGAGGGGGCGGGGGTTTGGTGGTCGAAGGTGGCGGTCGCTGGGGTGGCCGGAGAGGGGGCTGGGGAGGTGGTGCTTTGGGATAGGGGTCAAGGAGAGGTTGAAGACGGTGTTGCTGGTTGTGTGGGGTGGTGATGGGGGGAGCGGTGGTGGACAGCGTTAGTGGCGGCTAGGCTTTGTAGTGGGACGACGGAAAAGAGGTGCCGGAAAATTTTCTGATAGTCACTGCGGCGGTGTCACTGCGGTGGTGTCACTACGACGGTGTCACTCCGGCGACGTCACTGTAGCGGCGTCACTGTGGTGGCATCACTATGGACGGCGGCGATCCGGCGGACGATGATTACTGGTTAGAGGAGGTGGTGCACGTCACTGTAGCACGTCACTGTAGCATGTCACTTGTCACTGTACTGTGTCACTTGTCACTGTACCGAGTTACTGTAGCGTGTTACTGTAGCTTATTAGTTATTAGTTATATTTTTGGAAATTAAAAAAGGTCACTTTTTTGTCCATCATCTTTTTATTAGTAATATTCAGGTCAAAAACCCTTTATTCAGACCCGTATAGTCCAAGTGTAACTTCCATCATTTTGCACAATTAGTACGTAATGAAATTCACCGTATGTGTAACTTTTATCAAATCTCTTGCATCTCCTCAATATAATAACAAAAGGATCACACCTCATTCCGATCAGACGGTACGTTGAGAGGATGTAAGTTGGATTATAATTTCAATTTGACAGATAGAGAGCGAGGCTCTGTTCTCGGTAGTTGCAAAGGTCCTATGCATTTTTTTAGCATAATAACTTCTCATCGCAGTTGCCGGAATTCGAATTCGTGACCTAATCCTTGTGTCCCTTCCTCGCTACCAGTTGAGCTACGCCCACCGGTACCTCCTCAATATAATGAAGGGAAACTTTTGGGTACCCGCACGCGTAGCTCAGTTGGTCGAGTGGTGGGAAAATTGGACCAAGTGACCAAAGTTCGAAACCCGCTGCAGCTGTGTGGAGGTTACAAAATCTGAAATAAGGGCTGGATCTCTGGTGCGCACGTGTATAAGGCATACCGCCGCTTTGCTGACTGAGTCATCGTGATTAACTCCCACATCATCTTGTCAGGTCGGAGTGGGGACTCCTGAGGTGAGAGATTCCACCTTTTTGGACCAAGGGCGACTTTTGGGTGGAGGGTCTCGCCACATCCACCGCCCAGAGATTGGGCACGAACCAAACGGGGAACAACGTGGCATGATCAAAATCCGCCAACTTGAATAAAATACAGAGAGGTCTGCAATTATGTCCGTGAAGTTGTGCACAAAAGCCTGGCGTTTAGGTTGGGAAAGGGAAAGAAGCGTTTGGAGGTCAGATGGAGCATCCTTCCTTCCAGCTGTAAATCCACTGCACGTAGAACTCTATCCTCAATGACGCCATCGCTCACTTGCCTACAAATTCGGAAATTGCACATATAAAGACAACCAACTCTATCCACTACTATATTAGGGAGTATCAATCTTTTGTAAAGAAGGAAAAATGCTGTATCTAAAATTAAAGATGGAAATAATAATTATATGCATGGATGGATTTATATGGAGCCGGATTCTTTGTTAGATTAGGCCGATTTTGTAGTCGACTAGGGTGATTTTTTAGTCACTAGACCGATAGTTCTCTACGGTTAGAACCGACTGATTAATTCGATTAAGCTAAATTTTAAAACATTGTATACATGTAATATACAGTGGACATTATGTATACTACTTCGGTCCCATAATGTAAGATGCATTTGAATTTGGTGCAGGTTTAAGAAAAAATGATGTGGTGATCATTTTACAATTCTAACCTCTAAAAAATAAGAAAGGGTAAGACGAATCCACAAAAAAGTAGAAACTGAAATGGTAGATAAAAGGATAAGTGGAAAAGTAAAAATTAGTGGAATCCAATTTAGGATAATGACAATATTTTTAGAACAATCCAAAAATATTTTTGAAAAATGTATCTTACAAAATAAAACGAATAGAGTAATGTTTAATAAGGCCGGACTGTATTTGAGAAAAATGTAAAATAGTTTATCTTAATGACCTATTTTAGTGAAGTTGAGTATATCTAAAATGACCTATTTGCTCATTTTATCTATAGGTGTATGTCTAAACAAACCAAAATCGGATGGAAAAGGAGTATATGCTACTTTACACGGCTAAACCTACCTCACAATAACTACACAAATACAAGGATATATATATATTTAATTGTTTGGAATATTTTATGGTGTCCAATCTAATTAAATATCCTTGTATTTGTGTAGTTATTAGATTAGTTAAATGTGTAATATGGGCCACAAATGTATTTCAGTCCATTAGCCCACTTGTAAGCCTTAAGTTAGACATCCTTATGTATAAAAGAATGCTAACTTAAGCAAACCCTAAGTCTCACACACATTAACGCTCATATCTTTCTGAGAGCTTATACGGTACAAGGAAGAGAGAGTTCATCGTTCAAATATTTTTCTATCATTCTGTGATTCTCTCCTTCTATCATATTGTATGATTGTTGATTGATTTTTAGAAATTTAATCCGATGTAGACTTGGAACTTTGGCAGGTAGCCATCAGCCATTTCACGATAGACTTGTTCTAAAGCTACCAAGGGCGGCGAATGACAAAGACCATCACCATTTGCTAATAATGCTTTTCATAAACAAAAAAAAGTACAATCGTCCATTTGAGAAAAAAAAGATACGCCCCATCATCTCTGAAGGTCCGAACTCCGATCCAATGGTACATTGAGAGATGTAAATTGGACTATAATCTCAATCTGAAAGATAGAGATTGAGGCTCTGTACACAGTATTTGCAGAGACCCTATGCATATTTTAGCATAGTAATCTCCAGGGACGGATCCAGGATTTCGAGTCAAGGGTGGCGAAAATTTTCGTTAGTGTAGGAGATAAAAAATTCACTAGTGTAGCGGGGCGATTTTTTTTCTAGTTTAGCGGGACCAATTTTTTCACTAGTGTAAGGCTCTGCGGCTATTTTTATTCAAAAAAAATTCATTAATACATACGTGACGACATTTAAACCTATATATTACATTCTAAGTTTACACAATGACAAAATAACTTTAATTTTATAATTGGAGTGTTCTAGAAAAAAGTATTGATACATTAAAGCATAAGAAATGACAAATCAATGGAAAATAATACAAAAATAAAAAGGATATATAACATT